TGTCTTACATTTCTGCTTTCTGGCAGAATGATATGATCATCATTTTAAGATGGAAACATATCTATTTAGCTATATCTTAGCCTTGGTTTGTGCAGGGTTTTCTTAATCAGTACTCTGTAGGCACTGCAGAGAAGTTGTGATGATATGAATATAATAATCTACATATGGTTATTGATTTTGAAGAAGGAGGAAAAAAAGAACCCAACAGACAAACGACAAAGAAGTGTGCTTTTATCTGCTCCAGGGACAATTTGCTGTTGCACTTACTATGCTTCCCTTCCAAAGCACCAGCCTCTCCTATGGAGGTCTGGTAATGAACAATTTAGCCATTTTTATATTAATGTTTGTCTGACAAGAGTTCATTTCTATTTTCTTGGGAGTAACTTCTGGAATTTGAGAAAGGTTTACTTCTGATTTGTTATGAGTAAGTCCTGATTAAAGCATCCAAATGGATTTTAGCTTTCAGTAGTCTTCAAAGCAGACTGCTTTGTGCATTTAAATATCTTTCCTAATGATAGTGGGGACTTATGTTCAAATACAAAAGAGAAAATGATAATCATGTTTCTGTGGCTATAATACTGAGAAGCATTTTGTAATGACTGTCCAGCACCTCCAGCTTAGTTACCTTGATTTACCTTGCAACTTTACTTGCAACCTCTTATTTCCAAAAGGCAGTCAGCTTGTAAAAATAAGATGCAGTGCTTTAAGTTAATTCATCAAGCTGCAAAATGGATAGAGCGGAAGTAGTGCTTTACTAGAGCTTGTGACGGAAACTAGAGGACAGGGAAGAATAACAATGATTTGGTAAGATTTAGTTGCAATCTCAGGAATAAACCCTATAATAGTTTCTTAGAAAACTAATGGTTATGTTTTATTGTGTGGTGTTCTAGGTTGGTACATTGGAATAGATGCCACATGACATTCAAAAATGTATACAAACACAATTAGCTGCATAGAAAAAGTGTTAAAAAGATGGATGGCACATTTAGGAGGATTATCTCAAGTCACTACAGCATCATCAATCTGCAAAACAACTAAGTTTTAGCTGTAACAATTCTTTATTGTTTCTGTCTCCACTCTCATTTTTATTGTGGAGGACAGAAAAAGCTTTTTAACAAGTGTAAGTTTCCAGTTTTAAAAGGATTCTTTTTTAAACAATTAGTGCTTAAAGGAAAGCAATCTAGGAAGAAACAGTATTGTTTTCCCCTTTAGTCCCCTTCCCCTATGGCTTTTCCTTTAAATATGATGGAACTCTAATTTGTGTTCTTTAGAGTAGAGGTAATGAAATTACAGAAAGGATGTGAAAAGTATCTGTGAAGGTAAGCCAATACTTTCCATTGTGTAAGACACAGATATACTGACTAAAGACACATAATATGAGAAAGTTAAAGGAAAGAAATCAATATCAGGAAAGATTTTATTTTTCATTTAGGTTTTAGAGATCCATTTGGCAAAGAGTTACTTAAGAAATATGCTTACGCCCGTTTAATTCATTGTTAATTCACGTGAATTTTCAAGATGTCTCATATGCAAATAGATAATTCATCTTATGCAACTGCAATATGCTTATTCAGTCAGAGAGATCATGCCTAGCATTTCTAATGCAGAAAGTCCTGGGTTTGATAGTCACTGCTGATAGGGATATCTGCATCTGTGTACTCCCTGTTTGTTACCCAATGCTGCCTCTAAGATGTCAGTTTACAACTGTTACCCTGACTGTTCTGATGAGGTTATTTCCAAAGAAAGCAATATAGTAATTTAGAAATAAAAAAGGTCATTTTTAAGACATGTTTTCTCATCCACTCTGATATTTAGCATTCTCTACTATTAAACGTTCAACACATACGCCAATTTTTTATGTGCCTTTAGGAAGAAAGTGGGCCTTTTTCATATATTTCAGCCCAAACGAATCTTACTTTGGCTTATTAATAAATTGACAATTTGAAACTATAGAATCAATTGTTTTCCACTGAGGGTCTGTATGTATATTCATACCACAAACAGGCATTTTTCCAAGCACTCAAGTCAAATACTTTAGTCTTAACATTACCCTTAGATTCACATCTGCTGTATCTCTTCTACACACCATGCACATGATGTCAGTGATCATTATGTATCCTTTTACAATGATTTTCTTTTAGCCATCTGGCTGATTATTGGGTGGTGTTTTTCATTCTGAGGCTCTTGAGAGATGTGGCCCTGCTGCTTTCTTGAGGCTGTTGTCTTTTTATTTTCAGAAATCCCTTTTTCCTACTCTATTTAATTTCTTTTCTATTTTTATTTGTCGTGGTTTTGTCTTCATCTGAACAGTGAGCTCAGCCTTATGTATTCAGCTCAGAGAACAGTGAGCTCATTAATCTCCTACCCTTTGAAATCTGCAGACATGTTCCCCATTGTGGAATTACTTCAGTCATGGACCCCTGCAGGATAATTTGAATTTGGTGTTGACTACTTTAGTGGGCTGTCATTTGAGCCTGTGGCTCTGTGGTCCTTACATTCACCTATCCATTTAAACGGCCTTATTCCTGGCCATTTTCCCAGGCAGAAAGACTGGAGAAAACTTGGCATTTAGTAGCGGATTTTAAATCTTGATTGACTCAGGGAGTTATGCTTCCCATGTCTGTTTCTCAGATCTTGCCTATCCTCAGAAGATTGACATGCACACTTATATAGTTTGTCATTAGATGGATATTTGCCATTTGGCAGACTCCAACTAATTTCTACCATGGAAGTAGTCTTAGTGCACAAACTGCAGGAGCCGAAGAGATCTCATTAGTTGATATATCCTGAATGCTTTGTTACCATTAAGTAGAAACCTCCTGGTAGAATCAGGTGTGCTCTCTGAGGATGTGAATGGACAGTATAGCTTCTGTGAAAAAGTATCTCAAAGTTTCAGCTGGGATGGCCACTGAAATTTGTTCTTAAATTTATCGGGTGACACAACTTGACAAATGTATGTAGTAGTGTGGCCTTGATCAATCCACACCTTGTACCCAAATGTCTGACCACTTCTCTGTACTTGCATCCCGGAACTAGACGCTGCAGAGGGACATCCCATAGTGTGAATCTGCACATTGGCCAACCACCTGAATTAAAAAGGAAGATTGCTTTCCAGGAACTGGATGTTCTGTGAAATGTCCATGTGCACAGTCACACCTCACGTTTAATTTAGAGAAATTAAGCTTTTGTATGTTATGCTTGTCTTTTAACAAGTATCCTTAAACTTTTTTCATTATTTGAGGCTATAACAAAATGTTTCTTAACTGTTTATCTCTGAGGGTGACAAATTTCATTATGCTTCCAAGTTCCCCCTGTGATTTCAGTTGAACATCCTCAGCTCTTGTTGTGAGCTGCTGCACACCATTTAACAGTTGTTGAATTTCACTTCAGAGGCAGCTGGAGGTTAGTGGTAAGCAGCCCAATTCTTGTAAGGTACTTTATGTTCCTTTAAGGTGAAGGATACTACATAAAAAAAAAAAACATGATTCTGCTCACGTAACTCTGCTTTGTACATGCTGCTTAGATTTTTTTTTTTTTTTGGTAGTCTTCACAGGTATGCAGAAAATACGTTCTATAGATGCATCTGTTCTATGTGAATTATCAAGGAAGAATTCAAGTAAACTGAAAAATAAGTTTCTGGTCATTTTCCTCTCAGATGTTTATGAAATTTCATTTAAAATTGTTGGATAGTTAATGAATACCTGTTAGCTAATTAAACTTATAGAAAATAAGTTGTTAAATGGATGTATGATTGAGGTCTGAGCTTTCACAATACAGCTTCTTTTAAAGCCAAATAAAATGCTGCATGCATATTAAAAATAATGAATGTGATAGGTCACCACCAAAACTGTTTACATTTATAGGACATCAATACGTTATTCAGTGTCTGGACTTCAGATGAGATCTGTAGAACAGCTTTGATGACATGCTGCTCACAGCCCAAATGATGTTTGTGTGTATTATTCATATTCAACTGAATTGAAGTCATTTTTCTCAGTTTTATAGATATAGCTACAAATTCATCTTGGGTTTTTATACAGCTGTGAGAAAGACGTTGTTTTTGTTGTTATAAAAACATCTGGTTTGGACTTCAGAGTAGTAGAGCAGCTTTTCTTATGCTTTGTTGTGTGTTTATAGCTTCACAATATTGTCGTATTCAGAGCAGCCTTGACACCAGTTGGGTTGGTAGGGTACTAGAAAAAGATTTTATGATTATCTCCTGTGGAGATGAAATTTCATTTAAAACTTTGGAATTTGTAGTCAGTTCAACCAGAGGTTGGACAATGATATGTACCAGAGTGAAAATGAAAGAGTTTTCTACAAGATTCTACTGGAATGTGACTCTACATCCTTAACGAACAGACATTGTTTGGTTGATGGTTGATTGATGGTTTCACAGCAATCAGGTGTGGAATGCAAATATTTACTTTTTAAAAGTGGTTTCATAAATAATATTTGTTCCTCCAGCCTTCAGTCAGGTTTATGCCACCAGAAGGCATAAATACCCTGTCTGATTCATTGGCTTTCCACCTTGGTGTCTCTGTTTCCTTCTCCCTCCTATCATCCCCTGTTCGTGTGCGCTAGCTTCTTACTATACCAGCTGTAACCCTCCAGACTGTGTCAGTCTGATATGCTGTCAGGAACCTGTTACGATCTTCACACTTTCAGTACCTTTACCCTAACATTTATAAAGCATGTGTTCCACACAGGAAAAATGAGATGAGCACCAGTTTGGAAAAAATGAGTAACAATGGAGCTAAGAAAGTCTGTGCAAGAAGTGGTACTCTGCAGCAGCACATTCTGCTGACACTTTCTGCTAAAGCATGCAAATGTAAAGGTTTAGATGCATTTTGGAAGGAAAAAAGTTGTCTTCAGATAGCCAACCATGGAATTGGATACTCATTAGCAATGAGTCTGCAGGATATTTGATCTTCCAAATACTAACATACATACATACATCTATATATATATATATATGTATTTATCTCTGTTTTTCACAGGAGAATCCCTTCAGGGAACAGATTGTGGGATCTTTCTCAGAAGATGGAGAGGGGAGCCTCAGCTTCAATGATTTTGTGGATATGTTTTCTGTGCTCAGTGAAATGGCTCCCAGAGAGCTTAAAGCAATCTATGCCTTTAAGATTTACGGTACTGTATTGGGATGCTTTTTTAATGCCTTTTTTGTTTGAAGTAAATGTGTATGAGAGTTGTGGTGATTGTCTCTTTGATTCTTTTATTGTTTAGATTTTAACACAGATAACTTCATTTGTAAAGCAGACTTGGAAAAAACCCTCAATAAGCTGACTCGAGAAGAGCTAACAGCAGAAGAAATCACTCTAGTTTGCGAGAAAGTAATAGAAGAAGCTGACATGGATGGCGATGGGAAACTAGGATTTGCAGATTTTGAAAACATGATTTCCAAAGCACCAGACTTTCTCAGGTATTGTTTTAAGAAAAAGATAGTCTCTAGCGTCTTTTCAAGTATTTTTTTAAGACATCACTGTGTAGTGTAATACAAGAAATGTCAGACATAAGTACTTTACCTGAGAGCTGACTAGAGGATGACTTCTTACCCTAACTCAGTTTACTTTTCTGGACCATATTCCAGTTCTCTCCCAACTTGAAGACTCAGAGCTCAATGACATTTCGTTATGTCTTTTTTTTTTTTCGATTAATCTCTCCTGTTTGTTTGTGTAACTTCTTCAGGAAAATATTTTGATCTCTTATAAAACAAATTTGTATTGCTCTCAAGCTTATAGCAAGAATCCATGCTGTTTGGATAGCAATGTGTGTATATACTGTATACACTTTACAAATATACATGGAAACATGATCTTTTGTGCTGAGAAGGTGGGAGCTAGAGTGCATTACATTGGTACAGTTCAGGTAGCGGAAAACTAAAGTGATCAATTCCTGCAGTCTTTCTTCAATCCACCGTTAATCAGGTTTTTTTATCACTGATATGTTTTATTTTTGTTCCTGAGTTTCTTCTTAGTAATCTGTAGATAAAACCCAGCTATCTTAAGACAGTTCTTGCACGCTTTGTATTTAAAGATACCTTTTGAAAAGGACAATGACTTTATTTTTTTACACGTTAATAAAACATTCTACACAAACTTAAGGCTGTTACTTAAGTAATATAAGGTTAGACCTTCTTTAAGAAATTACAGTGAACAAGCTGGCAAAGTAAGATACTCCCAGACTTGCAAAAGTTCATATTTGATTCTTAAATCCACTGGCAGAATAGGCTGAAGCTAAAACCTAGGTCTAATTTCTCCTCCAGTTTTAGTGGTCTGGGTTAACTATGTCTAATAGTAAATTCTTGATAACCTGAAAAAGTTTTTTTCATAATCTTTGCTCATACACATTACTGTTAAGTCGGTAGTGTTCCTGCTTGGTGATAATTGATAATAACACATACATTCTAATATCTGGGAAGAAAAATAATCCCAACAATTATCTGGACTGCAAGCAAGTATATGGTATGATTGTAAGTTGTTTTGAGAAGGTTGGAAATAGTAAATTCTAGTTTCTGCAGACTTGTGTTTCCTGATTAGTTGGCAGATATCTGAGGAGTTTAGTTTCAGTCTTTTGCTGTAGTTAAGGCATGAAGACTGGTTCATCTATGTAGATTTTCTGATGTCTGGAAGGGTGTGGAATCATTTTGCAACTTTCTATGAAGTGAACACTTTGAGACTCTTTTTCACACAACTGCCTGTTTGCAGGAAATTGGCAGAAACTTAATCATCTTTCAGTCACATGTTGTTGAAATCTGCCAAAGGATTCAGAAGTTATTGGGAAGGATTAACAAAGTTCACAGTCAGACTGATTGAATAAACTATATTTTCATAGGAAATAAGGCAAAACATGAGGATAGAGTTAAGGTAGATCAAAATTTGGACTGATAATCTTGATGCTAATGGTATTTAAGAACTTCTAAGTGTCCTGCAGAACAGTATTTCTTTCATAAATGAGATTTCTGAGGAAAAATGTTATAGCAAAATGATTCTACAAAGAAGCATGAGGACATGATTGCTGCGAACCCTGAGAAACATCAGCATCTTGAGAGGATAATGTGAATGTTTTCTATACATTAGAAACATACCAGGCATTCCTTGACTAATCAACTGTATCAACGGAATCTCTTTTAGAACAAGGTATATATCATCATTCCGGTGAGGTTCAGCTGAGTAGGTATTCTAATATTTTGTTTACATATATTTCCAGCCAAGAAAATGTTTTCTTTATACTGTTATCCATATGGAAGCTGCTGGAGTCAGATAGAGTTTCCTTTAATCAATCAAAAGGCTGTACTGTGCTTACAAATGTGCTAGAGAACAGAGATCAAATGTGAAGAATTGAAGGCAGATCTGCAGACTCAGCTGAAACTGTAGTTTTGGAAGATTCCTGTGCCATGACTGACTTTACTGCTGTGTTGTATAGGCTTGCCAACTGCTGACTGAGAATTCCAAGCTGAGGGTGCTGTGCAATCCAGTCATTTTCTGAGAAAGTAGCAGAGGACAATATTTGCCAGTGTAGCCATTGGAATGACTATCATAATTATTTTTCTTTCCAAGTGTTTGTTGTTTTGGGAAACTGAAGAAATAAGTGTAAAGACCTGAGTGCTGGCTACTCAACAGGGCAACAAGATGAGTAAAGAGAGAGTTTAAGTGAAAAGTATAGAGCTTGTTATAGATTAGATATAGAGAAAATATAGAGGGAGGGATCACTGGCAATACTGATAATTTAAAGGAACAGGCTACCAAGTATTGGGAGACTGATCATCGAGTTGCTCAATTTAAATACATGTACTTTGATCCATGTTTGTGACATGGTGAAGTCATGTTATCGGGATGTCTCCTTGATGTTCAAGACAGTGATGTGTATATCTAAGGCAGATTTTTTCCATCCCTGGCTTCAAGTGAAATGGTAACTTCCATCTCATTTCAGGTCCAGGAGATTAGCTGGGTCACAGGATTCAGCTCTGGAGTCCTCAGATTTAAAGGGTCCTGGTGTGACATGACCTGAAGAAGGGTTTCCTTCCACCTTCTAGCTGAAACACTGGTTTAAAGCCTCTGGCTCTTAACTCAGCAACATGTTTTTTAACCTTTGAAGCTATATTACAAAATGAGGGTATAAATGGAAAAAGTCTCAGAGCTGAGAAGAGAATGTGTAGTTTCCGTGATTTGATTTCTGTTTCAGCCAGAGTTAACAGCTGCAGGAAAAGAAGGTGACAAGGTCATGAGACCACTTTTATCCAAACCAATCTGTATGTAAGACTTGCCACCTCCCCTTATTGTGGTTTACTGTTCATTTTGCCTGTAAAGATATTTTATTTTTTGAGGACATTCTTAGTCGTATTTTTGCTATATGCACTGCATCATAGACTGACATATTTGTTAATCCTGAACTTCCTGATCTGAGCCACTTGTTCTCATTTTTTAAATACTCTGTAAATGTTGTGTTCTAAAGGGAGGCAATGGTTTGACTTTTGGAATGTGATCCACTGAATTTTAATGCCACAATAAGTACACCAAGGTCTGACCGGGGACTGGAACTAAACCAGTGCTCTCTGATGGTAGAAAATGCATGCTAGCATGTGACAGAACGTGTGACATGGGAGAAGAGTGCAATTCCTGTAGCTGATTTCTCACCACAAAAAAACAAGTTCCTATTTGTTGAGTTCCTTAATAACCTTGGACACATTACCTGTTCTTTTAATGAAATGATACCATCTTTTATCTTTCTGACTTATCTCCAGCTTGATTCATGGCTTCTCATTTTCTACTCTTCTGTGTCTTCAGTTGTAATGGTCCTCTTAAGTGATAACCATAGGCTGTGTGCAGCCAACCTGAAGACAAGGCTGTGCAGTTTTAGTATAATACAGAACATGCAAAGCATAGGAAATGTCTTAATAGCAGATCAATAACCCTATATGCCAGTGGTAAACTTATGTCTGAACTATCTTCCTAATATTGTAAAAAGAAATGAAAACTCATTTTCATCTAAATAAAATTGTCCCTTTTGACATTTTCAGCAGATGCATGGAGGAAATACCAACCCATCAATGTCCAGAGACAGTCATAATTTCATTTGGTTTTGCATAGCTCCACTTCTTGTGCCCAACTGAATGCATTCCAGACTTTAAATTAAAGGAAGCCTAAGTGCCTATTAATTTATACTTCCAACTACTCAGCAACTATAGAAATTAAAAACCTAGGAACCAAAGCAATAGCCACTTCTGAAAATTATTGCCAGTGAGCAATTGAACATGCTGGGTAACCACAGTTTTCAGAGGCTTTCCTGTGAAGCAAATCAGTATTTATGAATATCTGATCCCAGTATATCATACTGATGCCTGGTATGTGATCCTTTTGAAAATGTTGACTAACTTACCAGACCCCAGATGATTTTTATTTGTGGTAAAGGATTTCTTACTCTGTTCTTCACCATTTCACCCCACCAAAAGCCACTTCTTTACATCATAAGAGTAGGAAACTTCGGATTCAAGGCAGGTGGGTTTTATCCCTAGATGTGCCGTTCCTTGAGCAGATGATCTGTGAAAGCCATAGATCATTTTGTTCTCTCTGCTCTGTTAAATGGGACCACTGCTTAACTGACTTCTGACAAACATTGAGAACTCTTGTCATGTGAGCTATCCAACTGTAAATCCCATCATCATTAAAATGAGGTATGAAATTACTGAGGAGGAATACCTTCTTTACCCTCTTTGTGGAAAATCTCTGAACGTCAGATTCCTCTAACAATGTACACTCTGTTTTTGAAGCACTTTTTTTCACACAGCTCAATATGTTGGGGTTTTTTAAGCCATCACACTATCTTGCATACTTAACATATACAGCAGGCATTATTTTTGGCACCATGATCCAGGCTTTGACCTGGTATGAGCTAAAGTTCATCCACTGTACATTGATTTTTCTTTATCATATCACTTGTTTCTCGAACCTTTGCTTAATGTCCCTGTGTAGGTTTAATTTCCTACAGCCAGCCTTTGCAAGCTTTGAACTGCTGTCAAGCAAATGAAGATTCACTGAAGCCTACTGCTTGAGTTGCACTGCTGGAGTTGAGGAATTTTTTTAATACTAGAAGAAAACACTCCTAATCATTGAACAAGGAAGAAAATATATGGCTGTTGTCCCAGAAACTTGAGTGAGCTGTAAATGATAATGACAGTTGCTAGTTCAGAAAATTTGATCCCAGCAGGTTTATTTCACTCAAAATTGCTATCATTAAGAAGCTGCTTGTAGTTTAATGGAACTATTAGCAGTCTGAACTGGCACTAGCTAAGTGTTCTGTTCTACAAGACTGGTTACGTTTTCCACAGGAAATTATTTTATAAATCATCCTGGAAGTTTAAGCTTATTTCAGTGCCTGAGGGTGAAACATACTTTAGCAATTTGAAATGGAGGTGAGAAGACTATGGCATCAGTAACACCTGGATCTGCCAGAACTAGACACAGAAACAACAGACTAAACAAAAAGATGTAATTGAAAATGCAGTATTTCTGAAACATCTCTGGGCCTTTACCCATATAAAAGTTCATGTCCTGACTTCAGTCCTACCTAAAGCTGAAGTAACAGAAGGTCTTTCGTAGGAAATGTGCATCTCAAGACCTGTCTCAACATGCATTTAATCTAGTTCTTAAGGACTGAAATTAGAGCTAGCAACATACTGGCAAAAGATGCTTAGCAAGAAAACAGTGGAAGGGAATAATTTTTTACAGAATATTTCAGCTGCTTCTCAATAAAAAGATTAATCTCCAGAGGCCAAAATGATACTCTGATACAAATACAAAAAATATTCAGTGAAATGGATTTGAATGGATCTTTTTTTTTATTTCAAGGAGTCATGCCTAAACTGTTTTCACATACAATGCTGTGGATTCTTTAGTTCCTAGATATTGCCTATATGGGACTTACATTTTCAAGAGTTTGGATTAATATGGGTCTGTAGACATTTCTGGAATTGTAAAGAAGATGCTTATAATTTTTTTTAAAAAAAAAAAAACTTAGTGCAAGTTAGCTCTTTGTATCACTATACACTTACTTTCACAACACATACGCTAGTATGCCAGAGTGCATCATATCTTTCAGTGCCACCCAGATTGAATAAATTCCTAGGGAACACTGTGAATGTCAAATTTTATCTCCTCTAAATACATACCACAGAGCTTCATTCAGCGAATTCATGATTCAAATCAGATAGCTGTGATTAAGTTAGAGTGTTCTTTTTGTAAAACAATTCAAAACCTCTACGTCTAGAATTCTTCAGCCTCTCAAATACTCCAAACCTTTAAAGTTCTATGTTGGTGTAGGCATCAAAACTATCATGTTTACATAAAAAAATACAGAATTCCTTCTGATCTCAGTCAAGAGAAAAAGAAACATACAGTTTATACTTCTGTGACATAGAACAGCGATTGCTACCTAGAGGAAGCGAGCTTTCAGCATGCCCTCTTTAAATTGTCTTTTACTGCCCTGCTAAGGTGCTCAGGAGTTCTGCAAATCGGTGGCAGTAGTAAGGCATGTCGCTTGCCTGTATCATAACACAAATAGAAGATAACAATCAGAATCTCTCAGTCCTAGCAAGAGAAGCAACAAATTTATCTGCCTAAGTTGACTTGTTTAGCAACCCAAATGCTGTGCCATAGCAGAAGTACCATCGAGAAACATTTAGCTCTGCTGTATTTTCAATAAATAGGTCAATTTATACATGATTTAGTCCATTGCTGAACTTAGCCTCTGAACTAACATTTTCAGAAGATGGAAATTTCTCCCAGAATGTTTAAATCTTCCTGAGAGCATGAGAGAAGAGATTCAGGTTCATTACACAACATCTTCCTTTTTGTACTTTAAGGAAAATGTTGAGCATAATGACAAATGTGTTTATATCTCTTAATCTTTTTCTTTCCTTTGCAGTACTTTCCACATAAGAATCTGAAGATGTTTCTGTGAGCCAGTGTTATCAGAAATGACTTGCGAGTCCAGCCTTTCTGAATCTCAGGCACTTTGGGGGCTTTTGTCCTCTAATGATGGCTTCTTAGAACTCAGCGGAAAGTACTGAAATAATTCTGGTCCACAAAAAGACAGAAGCATCATGTGATCTACAGGATATTTGGAACTGTCACATTTTTATCTTCATTGCTGGCCAAGCACTTTGGCAAAGATGTCTGGTTGTTGGGCTGTGGTTTTTCTTTTTTTTTTGTTTTTTTCCCTCTTTTTTTAAACAGGCAGAATCAGAATATTATTAAAGGTATTTCCACATAGTTTTTATATTTATGAATATTTAATACTGCTCTTAAAAGTGCAAAAAACAACAAAAAAAGAAAAGATTGACAGAAAGATTAGCTTTGGTGACTTTACCAAGAGTATTTGAAAGAAAGCATGGGCCTTAAATAATGAGATGCCTCTATCACTGTGTTGTACAGCTGGGGATCTTGCATGGAAATTATTTTAAATGAAAGAACTGCAGTCAAGATCAAGTTCCCAGTGTTGAAGACAACCACATCCCGGGTTTGCCTTTCAGTCACTGAAATGGCAGTTACTGGGTTTGGTGCTTACCTTCAACCAATATTTTATGGATTGTCGTGTCCTTATGAAACTTGAAATATTTGCCTTTTGTATATGATAACTGCATACGTGATTTATTTCTTCCCAAGATAAACATTAAGACTCTGTCCTTATTCTCAATGGGGGTCCTGCATTTTACTTAGTCTATGGGCTGATAATGTTGAATGGAAGAATATGTTCATCTGTAACTCATGAAGAAGTTAAAGCACAGAAGTACTACTAAGGACATGAAAAGACATTTTTTTTCTAAACCAGCTATGCAATCTTTCCCATAAAATGCATGAATGCAGCTCTATATTTCTCTTCCCTCTCCAGCTGGAAATCAGCTATATTTTTTTTTTTTTTTTTTTTTTTAATTCCAGTATGGTTTAGGTACTGGGGCCTCGAGACAATCATATATGTATTACTGTTCTAACAGTCAATAGAAGGGCTCTGTCACTTACATGGCTTCTGTATCAAAGTCATCACAATTAAAACTTTTGACGCATTCTGTCGTGGTTTGAGAATTTTTGGGCTAACCATATACTGATTGCCTTTCTGGTCATTATTCCAGTTCCTGTAAAGTTAAATCTTTCAAAGGATGAAATATCTTATTCTTATTGAAAAAGTTGTGAGAGAAATTAATCATTTTACCATTTCTGTAGGGACGTTGATGCTTATCTACCTCAGAACCTCTTGTGTATGGTGAGCTTTCAATGTAGCTTGCTGTTCAAATTTACACAGTGTGCATCAAAAAGAAATATTTATCTAGCACTATGGTTGTACATTAAAAATGTCAATGGAAATTTTGGATATTCAAGTATATTGGACAGACTTGTCTAAGCATAGTGAAAATGAAAGTTGTACATTAGTAATAACATTTATTTTTAAAATATATTTTATAGTGATCATATTCAGTGATGTTTGTAGCATTTTAATAAGTTCCTACTACTGGTCTCTGTTTAGATAAAGGAATTAGAGCTTGAATTCCCTTTGATTTATTTACCCAAGTTAAAATTAGCATAAATCAATCCTGATATTCAGTTCTTAATGATGCTTGAATCTGTTCTTACTCAATCTTTTTCATTTTGAGCAGATTAAGGTAGATGTACTGGTTGATTCAAACAATTTTCAGGACATTGACATTAAGAGAGATTATGTTAAAATTATGTCCTGTTCACAGAAATGTCAGCCTAATAGTTTTTTATTTCTTTCAAGACACACATTTAATATTGAAAGCCTTGCGAGATGTATTTTTCTGTCATGATTAGTATGTATTGTAAAATACCAGCTTGTAAGATTCTGGATTACATGATTCAGATGAAAAGGATCTGGTGCTGATGACCTAAGTTGATTCCTTTTGACATCAGTGTTCTTTTTCTATATCTTAAAATTTCAATTAGCTATAGTTCTTTCTTTCCTGACACTGTGTGTCATTCCACGATTAGATCATCCTCCCCATTTAAAGGAAGACCTCAGTTGCCTTGCAATGTGCTCAGTGTGTTGTTTCCTTATGTCCTCTCTGACCTGAATGTCACAAACCAGTTGAAGAGACACTGGGGCTTGCAGTCAGATGTTTAACCCTGGAGTTATCCATTTGAGCCAAGAAACAAAACGAAAAAGAAATTCAGAGCACCCTGTGGAGAAATACTCCTGTCCACAGTTAAGGGAGAATTCTAGCGGAATACTGCAGATAGAAATGTATGCACTTGTCCTAACTCCCTTTATTTCTTTGACTAATGTTCATCTCCTGTAACAAAAACCCGAGCAACATAGTATGTTCCTGGAGTTTGAGAGAGACAAGTGTTCTAAATGCTTCTGGAGCAAAACGATCCTACCTACTAGTGGGTAAGTTACTATACCATCTGATGTGAAGGTAAAGGATAGATTTCTAAAGAAGCTTTCTATTTGCAGTTTCTTAGTTGTCTGTAGTTGGATGTCTTACGACTGAAAATCTTGTTATAGCAAGAGTGTTGAGAGAACAGGAGTGCAGCATGATGCATTGCAAATTTAAGTAATGTTATGAGGTAAAAAAACAGTTGTATTTCTTCAGTAGCATTAATTGGCAGAATCTTATGAATTCACTAGCAGGTGTTTCTTCAGCCAGGCTTGCTTATTCAAACAGAACTATCAGGCAATTTAGAAAGAAACTGAAACAGTGAAAGAGATGCAGATTTAAAACAATTTTGGATTTGACCTCGATCCAGGAGGATGTACATTTTGTATTGCAAAAAAGGTCCTAAATATGAATGGACATTTCTATATTTGCCTTCAAAAATGGACAAAGAAAAAGGAAAACTATTACCTAAAGCCTCTATTTAAATACATAAGTGTGTGTGTGTGTTGTCTCTAGTTTATATACACTGAGCATCTTAGAGAAAAAAAGGAGCTGGTGGAAGTGAATAAAACCATGTCAAAAAGCAAGTAATAACCAAGTTATTTATTAACACACTTTAGTTTATCATTGTTTTAAAGGAATACTATAAGCTGAGATATATAGCAGCCTGCAGTCCAAAATCTGATCTTCATTACTTCCATATTCATCTTCAGTAACTCTGTGGACTTCCGTGGAATTAACTCATATGTCTGTAATTAGATCTGTTTTGAGGAAAGAAGTTGCTTTTTGCTGCAGTTCTTTGTGCTCTCTCATGCCCTTTTAATGCAGTCTTAAAATGCTGAGTGTTCTTTTGTTAGTCAATAACCACATGCTTCTCTTTGTCAACAGACTCGGTGTTGGAATCTCTTTCAATTTCTTGCAATCACATAGAAACAGTCTTGTTTCCTTTTTCTCCCAGGGCTAATTTTTGTCTCTCTGCACATGCTAGAGGCATTTCTGATGCAACATCACAAGGTGGCACCATAATATCATATCAGGTCATGGTTTCATTTAACTGTTTAAATTTCAATGAAATACAGGATACTACATAGAATCTGTGATGCCACAAACAAAAAGATGAAAACTGTGCTTAGTAACTGATTTTCAAACTGTAGATCATTACGCAGAAACTTTCATGCTTGATTACATTAATGAAATTAAATCCTACAAGGGGCAGAACTAAACACTTTTGAAACAGGTACGTGAAAACAGAATGATTTTATAGAAGTAATTTGTGTATGTGAGAATTTTTTTCTTGGTTCAACACACTAGCTGGTTTGTGACCCAGTATAATGACAAATATACGCTTTTACAGTATTTTCCACTCTGTCTCAAATGCAGTAATTTTCCACTCTGTCTCAAATGTAGTAATTTTCCATACAATTACTAATTTCCTTTTGTATGGTGTTGATCTCAGTAATATTTTATATTGATCAGAGTAATGGGTTAATTTCTTTCCCTTTCATGAGTTAATATGCTTTTAATTCCATCTGTTCAGTTTTGCCGTCTTTCAGTATCACTGGATATTATTTTCATTTTTTTCATTAGGCAATAATAGCGCCTCATGGTTTTGTTTTTAGTAGAAATCATTATTTCATATAATCTGTCATATGTTCTCTGGAAATATAGTGGCCACAACTATTGCAGGTAAGAGCAAACCACTGATTTATAGAAAGCTTTCTGTGTTTTCGATCTTATCCTTTATAAGTGATGGTAGCTTGTTTGCCTTAGAACAGTGACAAACACTAAGTTGAAGTCTTTATAGGTGATCTATGGTATTTATATCTTTTTCTTTGTATGAGAAAATAGAAGAATGGATTAATTTAACTTTTATTATTTTAGATGTATATTATCTGATGCATTGAAATGTATCTACTATAATGTTTTCTGTTAACAAGCTTTATATTTGATTGCTGTGAAACATCTCCATCTCAGATGACCTGTGTATTTCATCTTCAGTGGAGCTTAGGCATATGCCTAAAGTTCAACATGTGGCAAACATGCTGTTCTGAGTAGCTGCGTTTCTTAGAATCAAGGTCAAACTGAGGTAAGGCACCATATATGACATTATCTCTCTTCTTAGAGATGGATTCTGTTCCAGTATTTGGGTTTTTTTTATGAAAACAGCATATTAAGAGTTTTGTTTTGTTGTAATTAAAATCCCTGAAAATTGAAATGTATATTAAAAAATAAACAAATAGGGATTTTGTTGCAGAAACTATAAAAACTCATATTCTAAAGACCTGAATAGCTTCGGATTATATTCTGAAATAACAGAATATAAAGTAAGCTAGAGACAGAGTTTTGGATGTGGAATGGGAAATATTACACTTCTCAGCTCAGGATCCACAATAAATCAATTTGGGCTGAAATAACAGCAGGATTAAAAAGAGTTTATAATATTATTGCCCAGTACACCTCAGATGGGAGGACAGTGGAATGAAATTTGATGAGGAAGACATTAAATATAACAAAATTATAATTGTTTATATCCTTAGAAAGATGTGTGTCTCAGACAAAAGTAAAGGACATAGTGAACAGATGTTCTGCTTTTTTCTTTGTATCATTTTGCAATTATGGGTGTCTTGCAGGGATGTTAATGACACCAAGTGACTATCAAATTCTCTGGTGGGGAAAAGGAAGAGACTGTTCTTGGTAGAATTAAAAGAGGATCAGCATTACAGATGAAAGTGCCAGTATTTAACTGGAAGTTCTGCCATTCTTGTCTGTAAAAGACCTTTTACAACCTGGACGCCAAATGAAATTCCTTACTGCTCTTTTCTTTTGACTGTCTCCCATTTGCAAGGACAATGACAAGCCAGGTGCGCAGCCTTGTATGCTTTGCTGTTGCAGATTACTCATTCCCTCTGTTCTTTCTCAGTTAAGATTTGGTCAGATTCAAATAGTTTTATACGTAAATCTATGACATGTATTTTGCACGTGCCTGATTAATTTGGCATGCATGCTGTTGAGTGCATGCTCACAAATCCTGCAATACAAACTGCGATTTGTATGCTCCAGTTCTGTGCGTGTATCTTTTGAGGCTGTATGTGCCTGAAAATGTAGGCCAAAGTGTTTTAACTCTGCTAAAGAGGGTTATATGGGCACCAGTCCAGCCTCCTCTTTTACTGTAACTTTTCTCAAGTGAAATCAGTGGATGTGGCAGCCTGCCAGGAGCAAGGCAGCTCATTGCTGTGGGTTTAATCATGGTTTGGGCAATTCAGTGCGGATAAAGCTTGCTATCTATTCCGTATGCTAACAAGCCCTGTGAAATGGCAGCTGATCGCTGAGGGGGTGATAATTGAAGATTTTGGTTTTGTCCCTCAGGTGAAGCTCTGTGAGAACACAAGTAGGAGGTATCTCTGTTTACTTGATGGAAACAGTTCTTATTTCAGTCTGAGAAAGTATTAATCTGCCCAGTTCCTGCTGTGGAAGTCAGATCCAGCTTTTTAAATAGGCCTTTCATCCCCAGGGGCTATGGGCCACTTCTCACATCACCCTGGAGGCAGTATGGATTGTGAACTCATGCTGATCATTAATAATCTGTTTTTAGCGATCTAATATTCAGGGTTATTTCAGGGTTATTTCAGTGGCATTTAGAAATAAATTGATATTCACCAGATTTTTTTTTC